ATTTTATTTTATTTTATTTTATTTTATTTTATTTTATTTTATTTTATTTTATTTTACTTTATTTTTATTCTTTTTTGGCTACAATAACATTAGAGTCCCAAGTCTTACCCCAGAAATGTTTACAAGCAAGTGCGAGGTCACATAAGTAAGCCAGGTCCCCAGAAGCCAAACCGCGGTTGTCAGAGCGGGAGCACAGAGATAACAGCGGTCACTGTGAATGACACTTTGTTGTGCTTGTGGGAGGGGGAGCTGGATACCCTTCATAAATGTCTTTAAAATGCCCTGACACTGTGTCACAACGGGTTATCTGAGGTTTGGTTGTTTTGCAGTCTTCATTTGAATCAGAATGAGAGAGCTCAGATTGGTTTTCTTCATCCCATCAGCCCAAAGCCACCAGGACCCTGGCAGGAAATCTATTCTGAGCTCCATGTCATCAGCTCAATGGTAGAAGGTGAGGAATGAAGGGTCACAGGCAGTTACACAACAAAAGAGGAATTGAAGTAGGCGATGGCCCCTAACGTTAGTTGCAATATAAAAACTCCTCAAACAGTTGATAATAAAATAGCATCAGCCGACCTCCAGAGTTGATTAATCCCCATTTTTTTCACTTTCAAGCTGAACAAAAGAGAAAGGTCAAGGTCCATGGAAAGGACGGCATTGCAAACTCATTCGCATGATCTGTGTTCTGTCCTGAAGTTACTTAGTACGTGCATAGGCCAGGAATATTTAACTGGAGTACCATGTGACCTGCACAAGCATGAGGCACTCCTCCCCTCCACAAATTGGAAGTCAACACTGTCTTCTATGTCTCACAAAGTTTCTAGAATTTCCAGGGTTGTAGAGGTGTTTGTATTTGCTGCAGCCCTTTGCTCCCTCTCTAAGGCCTCTACTGGGTACATTTTGGGGACACTTTGCATCAATTCAACCTACCAGTGTTATGGAGGTCAAAAATCAATGTACATCCATTGGAAGGTAAGCTCCCATGAATAGGAACTTTGTCTGGTTCATTGCTCTATCTTCAGCATGTAGTACAGAGTCTGGCCCATAGAGATTCCTAATAAATGTGAGTTAATTAATTAAGTAGCATGAGGTGAAGGGGGTTGAAGGGTGGGTCAGGAAATAGGTGATCACCTGAGCATTATGACCTGAGAAATTCAAAGAGACACCAACCTGTCAGAGGCCTGAGATTTCCTTAGTTAAAATGACCTATTTGGGTTAAAGTGTTGTTTTCAGGAGACTAGTAAGAGGTAAGCCACATTATCTGATGAATAGAACCACTATGGGCCTAGGAAGGGACATCTTTCAAGAGCAGAAAACTTTGAAGAGGCCCAAGACATTAAATGATTGAAAAAAGATCATACAGAATTTTAAGCCCCTCTCCTCTTAGTCAACTTTTCCTTTTCTTCCTCTTCCCAAATTTGTGAAGCTCATGTGGGTTCCAGGGAAGATTTGAGACAAAGTTAAGGCTTATGGAAGTTTGGGTGGGGGAATCCCATCCTTCACCCCATTCTCAGGTTCCTGGGGGTGCATTGGTGCTGCTTGCCAGGGACCACTTGGTTAGAATAATCTCTCCCCTAATTTACACATAGAAAAGTGATTTCTGAGAGATTTTTCTCTAGACTGACAAAGCCAAGAAGGAAGGCAGAGTCTTTCCTCTGGATATTTTCTTCCTTTTTTCTTTAATTTATCACCATCAATGAACACCCACAATATTCGCTGGCTTTACTAAAGGCTATAATGTAAGATGGATGAGCCTGAAATCGTATAGTGTATCGAGGGCTCTCCTCCCCTACCCCAGCAAATAAACCATTTCATAACTGCTGAGAGAAAAACACTCCTCTAAAGTTATTTTGTTTCTTATTTTTATTACAAAGAGAAAATATAAACCATGACACCCACCATGTTGTGCTTTGAAATATGAAAGGCAAGGAAAACTAATTTGGGAATAGAGGTAGGTGAAGCACTTTGGATGAGGGATGAAATAGCCAAGTTGAAAGATTAATGCTATGGAGACAAATTGAAATCTAAAGTGAAAGTTTAGACAACAGTAATCAAAATGAATGATAACGGAAAGGCGGCAGGATGGGAACATTTGAGGCAACAATCTGATCTGGTTCAACCAGATATGATGGCTATCTTGCACTTAATGCTAACTGCTTCCTACACCATGAGCGATGACCCTCCCTCTTATACTCAGAGAAAAAGAATAGAGACTTACCAGACTGCATCACTATTTTTATACACAGTTAAATTAAGTATCCACGTAATTCCATGTGAGGCAAATTAGGGTTGGTTTTGTCAGTCAATTGTTTGAGATTCCCAGGCTTGGGATATTTTTGAACAATTTAATAGCCCAAGACTTCTCATGGCCCCAGGAGTTTTTTACCTCTCTACTAAGCATCCATCTAGACAAATAATTTCACATCATCAACATTAAAACTTGGAGATCTTATTTTGGTAGGATGTCCTCATATAATTTTAAAACTATAAATAAATTTTCTTACCTGGAAAATGCTGCAACATTATCAGCCAACGTTTCCTGGTCATTTGCCCCGGAAATATAATAGTCATATATAGACTTCGGAAGTACTGATTTAGCATGTTGTTCATAATCACTGATACAAATTAACCGCGTAAACATTTTCACAGGTTACTGTCACCCCAGGTTTGGGGTTTTTTTTTCCCTGCCTAGCTTTCTACATCCTGATAATTCCACTATTTGTCAATTATTAATAGACTTTTTCCAAAGTTCAGATTTACTTCTCTGTTGCTTACATTAAGTGAGCAAATATATGCTTAGATTTTGCAATTTCTCTTGCATCTGTCTGCCAAAGAACAGCTACCCCTAAGCCATGAGAAGGTGGGGTTGGGGAGGCAAGAGAAGGGGATTAGTTGTCTGTCACATCAAAAATTAAGGACGTAGAGAAGTACTTGAATGAATCCACTCTTGGCACAGTTCTGGCTAAGGCTGCTTCTTCTGCATGGTATGTGCGTTTGCTTGGAACCCTGAATGGGCTGCCCACTCATTTTTCTTCCACATTTGGACCATGAACATATCATGTGACAAAGAGCTTATGGAATGAATGAGGCATCCAGTAAAAACAGGGTCTCTATATAATATAAAATTCAGCTGATTATAAACATTTGGCTTTAACAAGGAACATTAAGCCCAAATTTATAGCTTATTCTTAAAGAGTCTTGTCTCACTCTGGGGAGAATATAGGGAGGTGCCATTCCAAAGACCTTGTGGTCTCAATCTAAAATTTCACTCAATCATGGAACACTTGGGGGAAGACTTGTATTATTAAGACATGATTCACAAAGCAATGGCTTTGACATCAGTCAGACCTGGGTTTCAGTCTAGGAGCCTCCACTTGAAACTGCCCACCAGCCATTCGGCAGCTGAATTCTAACCGTCTACCTCTATAAGAGAATGTTCTCTTCAACTTGGACCCTGCTTTTCCATCCATTGGCAGACCACAGTGCTAAGGAGTCAATGCTCTAGGGGACAGCCCTCCATCAAGTCCTCAACCAAGGACTCAAGGGAGTTGGTGCATAAATACCCCAAATCTCCCACTTCCCTAGTTCTCTCTTGCCACCTTCAGGTGTCCGCAGTGTTAGCTGTTTGGTAACCCAACCTGTGGATTAGCTGCCCTCCTTTCCGATCTCGCTTTCCTACCCTTTAATCAAAAAGCTTTAAGCTGTCAGGATTGGCATTGAATTAAACACAGGTTTATCCCCAAAGTTCACAAATGTTTACTTTTTTGCATCAGTGTGATAATAGGTAAAATGACATTTATATTTCTATTGGAATGTAAATATCTGTTAAAATATTAAGGGAATCCTAAAAGAAATAACTCAGTTTTACAGTTACTGAAATCACTGAGAAAGCTGATCTAAGGAATCTTAATTCTGCGGAGAACTAATTCAAAATTTGCAGATTAAAGCATGACATTTTCATTTGCAACTTTCATAATTGTTAAAACTGTCAGCACCTTGCAACTAATGTAATTTTGGTGCAGAGGCAACTTAATATTCTGTAATGAACTTTAAGCAGACCAAGTTCTGGTGAAACTAAGGAAGATAATTAGGCCCAATGCTTCTCGAAATGTGGTCCTGGACCAACAGGACCAGCAGCAGCAGCCTCACTTGGGAACTTGTTAGAAATGCAAATTCTCAGGCCCCCATCCCAGTGTTGCCAAATCAGAAATTCTACAGCTATTGTACCATAACAAGCCTTCCAAGTGACTCTGGATGCACAAGATTGTGTGAGAACCACTGCTTTGGCAAGATGGAGAATAAAGGAAGATTTTGTTTTTTTTAAAGGCTTGAACGAAAACAAAAAAAAATCCACTCTCATTCTATGCAATGGCAGCCTGGCAGCTGATTTGGAGTACCATGTTCATGAATAAACTATAGTCCCGGGCGCCTGGGTGGCTCAGTTGGTTAAGCAACTCCCTTCGGCTCAGGTCATGATCCTGGAGTCCCGAGATCGAGTCCCACATCGGGCTCCCTGCTCAGCGGGGAGTCTGCTTCTCCCTCTGACCCTCTTCCCTCTCGTGCTCTCTATCTCTCATTCTCTCTCTCTCAAATAAATAAATAAAATCTTTAAAATAAAATAAAATAAAATAAACTATAGTCCCACTTTGCTTAATTAATCTCTTGGTGGAAAGAGCTAAAAGAAGTGGTTGGAGCTTAGAAAACTTTTGTTAATTTGTGATAACTACATTGTTTCAACACCTTACATTCTCTGAGAGACACACACTCCTCTCTAAGACTGAGAAGTGAGATGCTGAGGGTAGAAGGTGACAAAACAAGTTCAGTCTTCGTTCAAGCTGCAACAGGCTGCACTTGCCCACCTGACCCCCTCTTTTCCCCCCAGTCTGGGATCAGGACTGTAAGTGCCATCATAACAGCACCTACTGGATTTGGGCAGTCTCCTTCACAATGGCCAAAAGATAGGGATTTTTTTTCCTTGTACTAGACTCAGTAAAATCTTAATGCTCTTTCAACTCTTCAGACTATCCCAATAAAATGTGCAGCAGAACCATGCCTCACCATCTCTACAACCCTTGGATACCTTCCAAATCATGGGGACCTTTTCTGCCTTCATTTCAAGGACAACTGCCTGAGCTATAAAAAAGTGCCATATCCTCAACTGGGTCTTCACTCTCCTCTGTCTTAAGGTATGATTTAGACGATTGCTTGGAGAATGTCTTTTTTTTTTTATTTTTTTATTGTTATGTTAATCACCATACATTACATCATTAGTTTTCGATGTAGTGTTCCATGATTCATTGTTTGTGCATAACACCCAGTGCTCCACGCAGAATGTTGGAGAATGTCTTATTTCCTGTTTTTATCCTTTTTAGAGGCATTTCATCTTCCCTGAGGTGTAGGGTTGGTGGAATCTCAGTCCCTCCACTACTTCTAGGCATGGCCCTTCCAGAAAGGGCCATGTTGGTGGCATCACAGGCACCAATGCCAGCAAGAAACCAACCTACCAAGAAAGCTGGAGAGAGTGCCTCTCACAAGGGCAAAAACTATTTCATGGTGGTTGTACTTTGCATTCTCCTGCTTACTAATGAGTTTGATAATCTTTTATAAGCGTATTTATTGGCCTTTTATTTTTCTACTTTGTGAAACACCTGCTTGTGTCTTTGGCAATTTTTTTTGTATTAGATTTGTTATTCTGATCTAGTGGCAGAATTTCTTTATATACTTTGGGGACAGATCCTTTGTGGGTGTATGTATATAAGGTACATTTTTGCTAAGTTCTTGGCTTTCTTTCCTACAGGAAGATGCCAATGTCAGTATCAAAGCCGTGTGATGGAAAGCATGTGGTTAGATATTCTCCAATTCCTTTTTTTTTCTTCCTTCTTCACACTTTCTCTACACCCTTCCCTTCTCTCTTTCTTGATCTGTGTCATCTTCCACTCAGTTTCCTTTGTTGTCTTCTTCTTCCCCTTCTCCTTCTCTTCCTCCTTCTTCTGCCTCTTCCTCCTCTTCTTCTTCCTCTTCTCCTTCCTATTCTTCTCCTTCCATTACCTCTTCTTTTCTTCCTGTTCTTCCTCCTCCTCATTCTCTTATTATTTTCTCTCTTTTATTTTTCTCTCCTTGTTCTAATTAGAGATGAGTCCTAAACAGGCAAGTTACCTAGAGCTAGGTGGATTTTTTTTTTTTTTTTTGTTCATCCACTAAATGTGTTACCCCTTGAGGTCCTGGTTCTGAGCTGGGATGAAAGGGTGTGCAGTCATTAGAAACTTTTGGAAAAATTTCCTCTTTCATGCTATGCAAGAGGGCTGACCTTGCAAGCAGTCATCTGGTCTGAAGATGGAGGTGAGGGATGTGAAGATTTTACTTGTGCTTCTCCACTGCCCTGAGTCAACACCCTTTTGAGTGTCCACATTTTAAGTGGCATGGTTTGTTTGCTGTTCCCCAAGGTCCACGGGGCTCTTAAAATAGAGCTCCAATACAGGGATCAACATATAGCTTTGGGGGATGAGTTGCTCTCCTTACTTCTCTGGGTTCTTGCTTTCACCCAATATTTGGTCTGTTTATTCCTGATTATTTTATGAACATTTTGATATCTTTAGAAATACGCGTGTTATATTTAAAACAACTATAAATTATTTCCAGCAGGATGATTGAATTGACATGTTTTAGATCACTTAGTTAGTAGGAACCTGGGTGACAACTCATTTAACTACTAATTGGTAATCATGAATTACTAGGTCAGTTTTGTTTTTCCTACTTTACCTGGTCCAGGATGTGGAAACAGGGACTCCCCTCCCCTCCTTTCCCTCCCCCCACCCCTGACTCACCACCACTGTCCTTTCACTGAGGGTGTGGGCCTTCAGATTCCTATCTTAAATGAGAGTCTCCGTGGCTCTGTGGCTCCACAGCTCTGTGGCTATTTGTCTCCTCACCCTGCACACTCAGACTCTCAGTGGACAGAGCTTCGCAGATGTCCTTTGGACAACCTTCAGCTTCAGTGTTGTTTACCAGACTGTTGGGCTTTTGTTTGGCTTTGAGTTTTTATCTTTGTGTTTGTTTTTGTGTTTGTTTACTTGTTTGGCTTCTCAAGGATATCATTACTTTTTTGCCATTTCAGCAACACATTGTAAAATATGCTTTTAATATTTTCTCATATCTATAGGTGTTTTGTGAAAGACTTTTTCTTTAGAAAACCGAATCCACAGGATTTTCAAAAGCCAGAGTCTATGTTTTTTCTTTAACTATGGGTCTTTTATTGTATAGAAATTTAAAATTTATAATGTAATCAAATTTTTCATTAGTTTTACTGATGGTTTGGGCTCTTTAGTCTCATTTACAAAACTCCCCAGAGGTCATCAAAGCATTCTCCTGTATTTTCTTCCATCTGGAACTGATCTTTGTGCACCGAGCTTGTCATTACTGCTCTTTGGCCAATAGGACTCTTTGTCTTCTAAGCCCATCTTGGGATTGCATGACCTGAATTGTCCTGGTGCAGTTGGGCCGTAAGACCTGTTCTGGCCAAGGAATCATGGATGGAAGTATAGTTTATCAACTGAGAATTTAATTGTCAACTGAGACCCTCTGGGGCTACCTTTTCCTTTGCCACAGTAACTACCAATATTCCAAATTCCATCCGCCTGAGTT